CGACTGAACTTACCTTACACTCCTTTGAATTGGCTACACAGTTTCGCTTATATTCGGACAACTCAAATATATATCTAAATGTGATGTAGTACTCACATATCGACGATTCCCCCAATAGCTTTGAGCGTGCTGTGAGCGAGTCTATGTTTGCCGTTAAAGACTAAATTTGAGTATGATGGAGAGCTTCCTGTAAAAGATGCCACCAATCCTTCTCCCAGTCCTTTGACCGCAGGATGACCTACGTTGTCGAGGTTTTTTAGTGCACTCTTCGCTAATCTTTCCCGTGACAGTCGAGCCTACATAACCGGAAGAACTCAAATCTATATATCGCCGGGGAAAGTTACTTCAGCAACATTTATCAAAACTCCTTGGCGGTTTTTTATGCTATTACAACAACAACAGATAATTTTTACTAGAATTTTTAGCGAGTCTACTGACCACTAGTCACAGCGTTCAAGTATCCTTGAATCCACTCATTGAAGTTATCGAGAAATTTACTCCTCGCTGCAAGTGCAACATCATACCCTCTCGCAATCGGAATACTGGCCCTGCTCCACTTCGCATGTGGTGTTTGTATAAGAGTAAGGCATCAACATTGTAATTTTTATGTACGAAGGCTTCATCTGTCAATTTCACGATCGTATACATGGCGGTCTCGACCGTCTCACACAGGCTATGCGCTTTTTGAGCTCCTGACAGCACTGTTGCTCTGTTTTGGGGGCGCAATGCTACCAACTCGGGATGAAGATCCTAGACGCATACAAATCCTTTTTTGTGCATTCGCAGATCAGATTTTTTTATGGCCAATTAAGTTTGAAATTTTTTGTCTGAGTTGCTTTAGAATATGTTGGAAAAAATGGGATAAAATACATATCGGAGCGAAATTTGTTGTTTGGTTTGTCAGTGAAATTTTACGAGGCATAATTTTGTAGAACATTTTAACACATTATCTCTCTCAAGAAAAGGTAAATTCAGTCCTTTTTGTGGGAGGTAGCTAGAGCGTTTAATTGTTCTAGCAAATTATTCGCCTGAAAATTTCACAAGGACTATTCTCAGAAAAAAATCTTTATACAAAGAACGTAAAAGGCCACCGAAAAAAGTTCAGCTTTGAAATATGCAAAAGCTGTTTATTTTTTATTTTATTCATAAAAATATAAATACACCTATTTTGGAAGAGAAACTGATTTTGCTGAAAAACTTGGGAGAGATGTGGCCAAAGCTCAACCTACGGTACGCTGACCATAAAAAATTTTTTAGAAACAATTAATAGACAAGACCAAATTTTGTTTTTATAATTTATCATCTTTATTTAACTTTTATTATTGTTTTACTGCGTTGTCTGTTTTATAGATACTTTTTCGTCTTTTACAATTTTTTATTTCTATTGTAAGCTTATTTAAAATTTTAAACTATAAATAATTACATAGTACTTACATACATACGATCATTATTTATATGTATGTTCAAGCATATATTATCAAATATTTACCAACTTTTTTTCATATTATTAGCTTCACATAATGTGTAATTTTTTATACGTAAGTTTTTTTTTCAAAATACTTAACTGTTCGCAAGAAGTTTCAAAATTATTGCGAATTTTACTGAACTGTTTACAGTGGAGGCGAAAATCCACAGTACATATAATGCAAATAATAAAATGTTTTAAAGTGAAGGGGTGATGGGGTAGCCATGTTTGTGTGTGGGAGTGAGTGCGTTTGCTTCTGTGTGCGTTTTTTCTTCGAATTTATTTCATGCATGTATGGGAGTGTGTGTTCGCGATAGATACATGTGGATACCTATATACATACATATCTGGGGACGGCAAAAATGAATACATACTGAAACCAAATAAATTCGTTGACTTATTCTTTTGTTATTTATTGTGCGAACACAGTTTAATTATATATATTTTTTTTGGTAAATTTTAATATGTATTTTAATTGTTAGCATATGTTTATTGCTTTAAGTTATTAAGCATCACTGAGAATTAATAAATGGTTTTTACAGGCAAATGAGGCTTTCGATTGACTTAATTTGCATATTTCTGCCGGTAATTCTTTTGATAAATGGGCAAGGGAATGCGGCTGTGTGTGCGTGTGAACGTGCCGGAAATGAAAATATTACAGCTGCAGTTTATGGCAATATTTTCTGTTCAGTTTTTATGTTTTTTTTTTTTATATTACAAATGTTTCAGTTACATAAATTATATCTTACATCTAATTTACTTTATAATCATTTTTTATTTCAGTTTTTACTAGATTTTTTCGACTTACATATACATATTTATTGTATATAATTAGTTTGATTTCTTAAGTATTTTGTTTTTTTTTATACTTATAATTTTTTTAATACCACATGTCTATGTATTTGTATTATAATTTTTTATGCGACATTACACAAATACACACTTAAAGCTTTCACTATTACTTGTACGTAGATTTTTGCTCTACTTTTATTCCAATTTGTTATATTTAATTTAGTTTGCTTGTGTCTTTGCCGTTTGCATGCCTCCATTACTTCCTTTGATTTGTTTTTTTTTTCTATTTCGTGGTGTTTCTTTGTTAAAAATGGAAGCATTTATTTTCTAGAATGCATCGTATTTTTTTTTACCTTTTAATTTTCAATTAAAACTAAACTTCATTGTGCCTTGTTATATTTTGTTGTTATTGTTACTAGTACTGCAATTCATAAGAATATTTGGAACTTCCAAATAGCTGTTAATTTTAATTATTTAATTTAATTTCTTATTTATTTGAGAAAAAAGTGCAAATAGAATAAAAGGAACCAAGAAGTAGTTATTGTTGAGAATTTTATATAAAAAGAAAAAAAAACACAAATTGCTTTGAAAACGACTTTACATTGGCGTCTACATACGCCAGACCAGAGCGAACTCCTGTAAGAACAACCATGGCAACCTAGAGACCGTACTGAAATTATGGTGGGAACACTGTAGAGTAGACGAACCTGAGCCCCCAGTCGATAATGAGGGAGCCGACATTCCATTATGCGACTGAAAAACAATAAAGCCGTTAGAGCTGACAACCTGCCAGCTGAGTTACTCAAGTACGCCGGCGAGGAGTCGATAAGATGCAAGCATCAACTCTTATGCAGAACATAGGTGGTAGGAGGTTTAGTGGGTTAAAGTCTCACACTGACAGTTTTGGGGTTAGGCTTTCGATGCTTCCTCCTCTGAAAAAAAAAGAGTGAGTGTGCCCTGACCAATATACAAGAAAGGAGACCCCGCCACACGCGCCAACTACCGAAGGATCAGACTTCAAAGCATAGATTACAAGGCCTTATCGAGTGTATTGTTTGAAATACTGAAGCCCACCGTCAACGAACTGACTGGGCCTATCAGTGTGACGTTAGAGCTGGAACATCCAGCATAGATCAGGAAAAGACTCTCGACAATAGTGTCGCCAATAAAGCCGCCTTCTGAATTCCCGCCCTTCCCCGCCAAACTAATACGGCTGTGTAAAATTATAATTCAGCAATATCACCAGCTCCGTCAGTATGGGAAAAGATCTCTCCCAGCCGTTTCATGTGATTTCTTTAATCTGATAACTGCAGAATTGAGCCACTTAGGAACAATTTTTTACAAGAGCGTGCAATTGCTGGCTCGCAGAATCAGCCTTACCAACAAGTGCTACTTTAGACTGAGTAGGCAAAGACAAAGTGAAGAAGGATTTGGCTTAACTTGGCATTTCCAATTGGTGTCAGTTGGCACAGAAGAGAAACGACTGGCGTTTGGACTCGGCCAAAATCGCTTACGCGGTTATAGCGCTAAACAAAAAAGGAGAACTAAAATTAAATTCGCTTTTTATGAAGGCCCAAAAACAATGTGCATAGGAAGGCAAACCTTGCTTTTATTTTGTCTAAATAAAATAAACCTTGAAGGCGAGTTTGTCAACTTAGAAGTATGTATTAAAATGGGGCAACAAAAATTGAATTGTTAAAAAAAAAATGTCTCCCTCTTTCACTTAGTTTGGCTTTTTGCAATTTCAAACAAAGTTTATGTCATGGTGAGGTCTGAAAGAGTAGTGATTTTGGGCTTAATACCAACTGATAGCAAGCCTTGCAAGTAGTTTGAAAAGAGCAGCCAAATTAAGTCCATTTGAAATAGATTTTTTGGTGAAATTTTGTTCGAGAACGGTTTTGATATCAAGCCCAAATCAAGCTTTACTCTCAAAGGCTAATGTTGATGAATGGGTTTGCTAACAAATCGCTTGCTATTTGATATCAAGCTGCAATGTTTACTGAGTAAGTAAACATTTTATTTCTTTTAAGAATTTCAGGAGCACGAAAAATTGTGATTTGAAAATTAAATTGAAAAAGTTTTACGATTCCGAAAATGGGGGCCGCCGGTATACATACATACATATATCACTTATCATTAACATACATTTAAGGTACATACATATAAAAATACTTACACTTAAAAATATACGTAAATATATGATGTACATAAAACATTTATGAAATTGGGTATTTGTAAACATTCATTCACATTTTAAATAACTTGCAATATAATTAGCTGCTGTTCATTCAACACATATAAACACATTTATTATTAATATATAACTTTTAAAAATACCCATTTAACACCCAATTTAAGTAATTTGTAATTAATCTATTTACTTTAATTAAAATTTAAATACGTAAAAAATAATATTCAGTCAATTATTTATTACGAACGTGTGTATGTGTTAAGCTTGTTTGTCATGTTTTTTTTTGCGAACATATTTATGTACAGTACATTGGAGTATCTCACTCTCCATACAAAAAAAAAACAATAATGTTTCCCTTCGCAATTATAAAACTTATTATATTTTAAGACTTCCGCTAAATTTTTTTTGGGGGCTGGACCGATTTGAAAATACCATCAAAATTCTTGTTATAATTTTTCAACATTTTTATGCAGACCTCTTAAGCTTAAACTCTTAAGTTGATGTTTTGGAGAAAATGTTTTTAAAAATCAGTTTTAAGTATTTGAAAAAAATTGGTCCAATTCACGAAAAATTTTAATATTTTATCGAGCCTTAAAATGTAATAAATTCTATAACTCCGCTGAAAGAACCGAAACTTTACTTGGTGAGGCACCCTAACGTGCATTTTTTACTTATGCATAAATAATATGTTAACACATTAACACTAACTTTTGAAAATACAGTAACTAATTACGTTTTTACTTCAAATTGTCTTTGAAACACATTTTTGAATGAGTATAAAAAATTAGTAAATATAAACTAGTTATTTACTTTAAATTTAATTTACCGTTAACTCAACGCAATCACTTAATTAGTTTTGTTTTAAAATTTTTTATTTTTATTTTTTTATTATTTATTGCATCCTTTTTAATGCAAATTTGTTTAGTTAACCCATTTTTTTTTTTATAATTTTTTTACGCATATTTCAATAATCAGTCGCACAAATGAATCACGTTGCTTGCATTCTCTTTTTTCGCTTCTCTACAATTCGTTCGAATTCGCTAATTAATTATTCACTTACACAATATATTCTAACTGTAGCTGTTTTTATTACAGTTTCTTATAGCTTAGTTATTTTGCTAAGTTTTCAAATATAAAAGAACTAACTTAATATACTCATACATAAATATATAGTTAAATGTATGTTTTTTTTGAAAAATGCAAAAACCTTTTTAACCTTTCTTCAATGCTTCTGCAAAATACTCACAAGTATCCTTGTTGTTTTCACACCAACTTACATATATATGTAACTGCTTACAAACTGCCATACATATTTAAGTATATCCATTATACACATCTACATATACAAACACTGCGTTGCCACTCTGCGCTACAATTAATTTTATTTCGTTTCTATCAAGGCTTGCTAAATATCCTCTGGATTTGCTAGTTTCACTACTTGCTTCTCTCTATAAATATACTTCACTACCGTGAATGATTAATTATTGTTTGAACACAAACAGTCCCGTTGGATCCCATTCGCTGTCGTCATTTGGCCCGAAACATTCTTCGAAATACCATTCCATTGTCTTATAGACGTGACTGAGTGACTTTGACATCGCGTGATCCTCATCTGGGTAGACCTGCAAAGAAAGTTGAGCGAAATATTGCAAAGTTAGTTGATAAGGTTTATTGTAGGCGAGGTTACATAAGTACACACATGAAAATCCCTCTATAAAAATTACACCTTGCCCAAGAATGATAGAAGACAAATTATAAAATTTACGCTCTACTCATTTCGATTCTTTTTGGACCTGCTTTGTAAAGAAATAAATATTTTAACAGCATGCTGGTATATTAAATGCTTCGTGCTAGATGGTACAATCACTTGATGTCTCCTGGAGGCTGGCGTCGTGTATTTCCCCTTTTACATTGCTATATAGGAGACCATCTCTGATCATAACTAGTTGTATTGAAAAATTCATCGCAAAACTAACAAAATTTTTTCAAAGAAATGAATAGATCAGCTGAAGGACGCCTTCAGAATGGTATTTAGGTAAGCTTGCCAGTTAAGATACGTTAAGAAAGATCGCGTTCATTGATGGAATGGGAACCTCACAAAGCTCCAGAAGCAGGTACGGAAGCTGTTCAATGAATGTTACAGAAGTAAAGTCGGGTATCAGTACAAACTCTCTTAGAGAAGTTAAAAAAGGCATACAGGACGCCATGGAAGCTTGAAAGCTTCCTGTAGGCAATTTTTTGAATCCATGGAGGATGCCAAAGAGTCAGCCATACACCCAACAAACATATAGTTATAAGAGCTTGCGTTATTCATGTACAGCATCGACGAACTCAATATCGCTGCTCGAGGCACTCCACTGACTCTTAATACAGAATCATGTCCCGCTAAGCTGAAGAATAATTAAAGTAATATATATTCCTACACTGAAAATAAAATCTGCGTAAATATAACGAAAACTTGCGTACATCTTACGAAATTTTTGGTCATTTTGAACCACGAAAGTTTTCGTTGATTGTACAAAACCGTTTTCGTACATACTACGAAAATATGAGACATCAGATCTTTAGTACATTTTACGAATGTATTCGTATACTATTTACTAACAAATTTGGTACTATTTACTAAAGAATTTCGTACTATTTCTTAGTTTTTTACGAAATTGTTGTAAAATGCACAAAAATCGTTCGTATATTTAACGAAATTATTTTTGTAAAATCTGCGCTTGTTTCATAGAATGGGCGATTGCTTTCATTCTCCACACTGTAAAAAACATATTACACAACACTTTTTTTTTGTTTTTATCGTTAATTTTAAGCGTTTTTGTTTAACAAAATGTTTTGCAAAAATGCTGAACATTAATGATTAAAATATAATGAAAGTGTTGTGCTATAATTTGATTCATTTTTTTTATAGTGTTAATAATAAAAGCAATCATACATTCTACGAAAGAAGTTCAGATATTACAAGTATAACTTTACACCTAAAATGCTACTCATCGTGAACTCCTCTATTATAAATTGAAATAACTATTTTGACCCGACAGCAATAACGGCAAACAAAATTAAAATCTAGTTGCAATTAATGCTAACCTGGTCGCACTATCTCTTGCGTTTGGGGTCAAAAAGCATCTGCATTATTTACTCACCTGATGTCTAAACTTCACTTGCTGATCCACCAGCGCGCGCACCAACATCAACGTATGCTCTTGATGCACCAAACGGTCCGCTGTGCCATGTATCAACATCAAGTTGCGACCCTTAATATTGCCGGCCTTCATCGTCAAATCGGCCTCCTGCAGTGCGCGCAAGTAATCGCCCTTCAGCGGAATGTAACGTTCGGTGAAAAATGAGTCTGCAGAGATGAGAAAAACCAAACAACAAGCGATAAATTTAGGTAAAGACTAGAGTAGATTTGAAAGTGGAAAGTTAGGGTGTTGAGCAACGTAACTGTAAATTGCAAACTTACAGTGATAGCCAAAGGAGACAATCGGGTTGATGGCCACAGCGCATTGCAGCACCTGATGTGAATCATCGATGAGTGTCATAGTGGCGGCATAGCCACCGTAGCCCCAGCCGTAAGCGCAAATACGTGCCGGATCAATGAATTTCAAATTATCGCGTAGGTAGCTAAAGGAAAATGTGAAAAAGAAGAGCAGAAAGAGGCGAAGAAATGAGTTGGTGGTAGAGCAAAAGCGCCAGCTTGATTTAATGAGTCGACGGTATTTTTCGTGTCGGTTTTTTTCTCCTTAAAATGAGTATGTAGTAAGTTTTTATGTAAACTTACGTTAACACGCCAAGCTGATCCTCCACTTCAACGGTACCTAGCTTGCCGTGCACTTGTGTGCGCAGCAGCTCGCCCTGGAAGCCACTGCCGCGACCATCAATTTGCGCCACAATCATCGAGTGCTGACTGCTCAAATACCAATTCCAATCGACTTGATATCGCTCGGTCACCAGCTGAGAACCGGGTGCAGCGTTACTGAAATTTAAAAATAAAAAACATGCATTTATTTGTCTACTTCATTAGCAACCCACAGAAATTGCATAGCTTCAAAACTTGTATGCTCCAACTTACATCTGTAGAATGAGCGGAAAGGCTACCTCTTCATCCTCGCGCATACCCGGCGGCAAATACAGTCGCACTTGCGCATGGAAGCCATGGCGAATCTCAACGCTGAATGTACGTATTTGTGGCAAAGCTAGCTGTATGAGTCGATGTCGCAAACTTGAGCCCGCATTCAGCACATAGGTCTTCATATTGCTTTGCGTCTCCACCAGATAAACACTGGGCGATTCGGGTCCTAGACACTCCTGCACATAGTAAGAGTAATCCTTGCTGAAGTAAACTTTGTTATAAAGACAATTTTTCGGTATGTCATAGTAGCATTCTGTATCATCATCACTTCGATTTTCTGTGTCCTCTACGCGTATACCTTGCGCTGTCAACCGATATGTGGATATGGTGTTATCGCATGTCAGGCAGGTCGGATGTGTCGATGTGATGTAAGTGCGATTGGACTGCGTCACGTTCACTCTCAGACTAATCTTATATAAATGCCGTTCACCGGGTCGTTTTTCCGGCGCTGCCATAAAGTATACAATCTCATGTGTCTCATCCCAGCCCAGCAGTTCGGTGACTTCGAAGCGGCCCATTGTCAGCGGCACTGGTCGACGGTCCAGCGATGAGATGAACACAACGTGACGGAAATGGCCATGCTCGCCATCGCGCACTGGAAGACGTTTAAGCAGATAACCACCGTTCGCTATTTCATAGGTGGTTTGTCCATTGCTCACATTGTGATAGCTATGGTTACCGTTTTGGCCATTCGCGAGCAATTGCTGTTGTGTGCGCTTAAGATTTGCACTGTTGCGCACTGAAAAGATGGGACGCTCGGCTGGCAGTACCCAACCGTCATTCACTGTTACCTCTGTGTGTACCGGCTGGCAATGGAAATCGGGCGCGCGACAAACCACTGTTGTGGCTTTAGTTTGATCGCGGTTCGTAATTGTTAGGGAAAGGTCGATGGGCGTGGCCCATGTGAGTGCGCCAACGTAGTTGCCGTTCGACAGATCGACTGGAAGTTTGATTTGTGTGGGGAAGATGTACTTGAGGACGGAGAGATTAACTACGTTAACGGTGACATTTGGATTTGTTTCGCCCGCCTTCGGGTAGCGTTGTGTCAGTACGGCGGGGTACTTGATGTCGTCGCCCATCCAGGTGTACCTATAAATGAATGTATCTTCATAAGGTAGCTTTTTAATTCTAATTCTAAAGTGATATCAATGGAGGGAGCACTTTTTTCTTTGTTTAAGAAATCTGGAGACTATATGCGAAATCCTAAATAAGCAGTCAATTTGTTCATTGGCGTTAACTACTCAACTCACATCCTTTCGTTGCATTTTACTTAAGGTGTTCAAATGATAACGCGAGTTAAACGCAAGTAACTTCGTGTAGGGGTTTCTATCATGTAAACGAGTTTAACATAGTGTTGAAAGCGTATATTCTTTGTGTATATCAACTTGATGAAGAACGAGGCGCTTAGGAATAATTGCCGAAGCTAAATTTTCCATAGCATCCGGTTTCGATATGAGTATTTGTTTTTCGAAGCCTACTATTTAAGTACTTGGTTCAAAAGTATCGTTACCAAAATTACTTGGTATCGAACGAAAAGTATCGAGGATGTACCTGTATTTACTCGTATCGTTTCATATCTACGCGCAGATACGGCTGAGCATTAGGCAAAGCTTGCGTAAATGTTGCTGCTGATGACTTAGCCCGGGCGAGTCCATTGTTGGGTTTAATCTAGGACCGGAGCTCATCTCCAAAAAGAACTGCATATAGGGAAGATTTTCTTTACAATCTTCCATATATATGTATGTGGTCTGCATACAAGACAACTGAGGTCTGCAAGGTAAGTAGCGGTTCTTGTTAGCCATTGGGTGGTTGAAAGCCTCGCCAGAAGGTTGGATTTTCGTCTACAATGAAGTTTGTAACATTTACGGTAACGAAAGCGAATGTACAACAGTAGAGCATCTTCTACTCAGATGTTCAGCTTTGTTGAGTGTGGTAGAAATGAGTTAGTCATAAAACGTTTGAGGCGCAAAAACGGCACTTAGTTGCTACTTGGGCGTCGCCATGTTTTCATCTAGCCTAAGCTAACCATATTTGTTTACATATTGCATTAACAAGTCTTCCTGAGGTTGAGCTAAAATTTTCTGGGAATTCTATTAAATATTCACAACTTACTTGTACTCATTCACGTCACTGTCGTTGAATGTGAGAAATGCTAAAAATAGGCCATCCGGTGAGAAGGCCAGACCGCTGCTGCGCCCATTCAGCTCCGGCACGTTTTCGTACGTCCAATCTGGGATGCCATTATAGACGATACCAGCGAGACCTGATACATGAAAAAATAAAATGAAAATAAAAAAAGAGAGCATATTCGGTTACTGACACATTAAAAATGAAGAAGAAGAAGAAGTGGCGTATGGAAATAAGAGCGGAAGCAGCAACAATGCCATGACGCCTTCAACGTGTCAACCGCCATTAAAAAAGTTCAAATAGTGCAAAATGTTAAGGAAGTGACATTGCAGCGCTCCTATTCCTATCCATATTCATACACACACGCAGGCCTTTTTCAACTCACCTGTTGTTGTTATGCGACAAACAAGTTCGCCTTGAACTTTGGGCTTGTAGTAGATGTCATTCTCGTAGACAAAGGCGATTGCCTGATTTAGTGGGAAGGCTTTTACGGCACCACCATTTGGAAATTGAAAACTGTTGGGCGGCTTGCCTACGCCACTAATCGCGGCACCACCACCCGTCGCTGCGCCAGCCAAGCTATTCAGTAATATGCTGCCACCAGACGCACTGCCGACTGTGGCGTTCGCAGCGTTGGCTGACGTACGTGACGTTGTCGTTGTTGCGCTCGCTGACGCTGTGGTAGTCGTCGTTGTGGTAGTGGTGGTGGTTGTAGTCGAGGTGCTGCTGGTTGTAGTAGTGGCTGGCGTTGGTGGAAAATTGGGCGCCCAAGTGACAAATTGCAGCCGTGGCGGCTCAGCTATGTTCTCGGTTGGACCGAGTGGGAAGGTATTCGCTGTTTGTACTTCGTAGACGTGATGTCTTTTGTGTTTGGTGGAGTGGATAGTGCGAAATAAAAATTATTAAATTGTGAAATTTTTTTTTTTCATACAAAATAATAGCAGTGCGATATTTTGATCACTTTTGGCTATTTTTCTCTTGTTTATTTAAAGTTTGCTATTTTGTTATAAAAGTCTAGCTGGTTATACAACAAAAACCAAATAAATTCATATTTAAAACTTTGTACAAAAATTTTGAAAATTCTGCAAATTTTCACCGAAATTTCAAGATTTTTAATCAGAATCTTTAGGAAAAATTTTGCTAATTCTCAAAAATTAACGGGATTTTTTACCAACTGCAAACTTGCACTCCGTTATACTGGAATTAAATGGGCTACCAACATTTTTTCTAAAGATTCTGATTAAAAAGTTTGAAATTTTGGTGAAAATTTGCAGAATTTTTATGCAAAGTTTGAAATGTAAATTTATATGGTTTTTATTGTACAACCAGCTAGATTTTTATAAAAAAATAATAAACATTAAATAAACAAAAGACAAATAGCCAAAACTGGTAAAAATATCGCACGCACTCCTATTTTTTTGTGGGCAACGTACATACATACATACTATTGTGGTTATGTACATATGTATGTATGAATCTAGACTACTCATGTGCTACGCTGCATGGAATTAGGTTTACGAGTCTGCGCGAATGTATGTATGTATGTAAATATGTGGTCATTTATAGTTTTTGACTTATGTAAATATTTATTAGCACAGAGCTTCTCTGCTTTGACGTGCCAATTACACGCAAAAACAATTTGGCGTTGCAGTAAAACTGTTTATGCTGTTTATTCTCAGTTTCTATAAAATATACTCTACATATGCTTAAATATTTTTCGTATGCCATGTGTTCAATACCATTTGGAATGCAGGCAAGAATTTTCCATTTCCGGCATAATTTGCAATGCAAAATATTATTTTGGCGCATATTTGCACAAGATAAGCTATATGAAAATGAAAAATTATTCCACGGTCAAGTGGCGAAGGTGAAGCATTTACTTTCTTGATGTGGAAGCGTACGTACGTACATAAAAAACAAATAAAAATGTTTTAAGTTTTTAAGGAAATTTTTGTTTTTGCTTTTTTTCATTAATTACAAATATATAATAAAAATTAAACCAAAGAAATAACACAACGCACAGTGGTACAGCTCCATACATTTTTTGGAAAAAATTAAATGGAATTGGCGGATAACATAAATTTTTCATATATGTAATATTTATGTGCACAAATTAGTGGAAAAAAATGAAAAATTGGCGTAATCGATTTATTTTAAAGCATACCTCCCATACAACCCTAACCTCAAAAATGCCTTAAAATACCCTAAAGAGCACACCAATGAATATATGACTCCGAAATGTTGTCCATATATTTTTAGTAACTTTATGTATGAACCCTCAGAAATTTGGCGTAATCGGTTTAATTCAAAGCATTCCACCCATACAAACCTAACCACAAACACGTTTTAAAAGACCGTACAGGCCCGATCCCTGTCCTTTGACACCTTACTTTTGAAAATAGAACGAACTATATGTACATACTTATGTATATAAATGCCACAAGAACCCAAATTGCCAACTTCAAACTGCATTTATAGTGAAAGTTATCCAAAAAAAAAAAATTGCATTTTTGAATTTAGCGTCTTCAATTTTACTAAGAAGCGAATTTTCAGTGAAATCCGTCCATTTACACATTTTATATGGAAAGGAAGCACTGTGGGGCGAGTAATAACTATTATTTTTTGCATAAAACGATGTGTGCAGTTGTAACTTGATGAAATTCATCATAAACAAACAAAAAGTAGATTTTTGGATTTTTTGCTAACAACGTTCTTTTGTGTTTCAGTGAGGATGCTTGTTACGGCACATTAGGGTGCGCTTTATTTTTTAACTTTTACTAGTGTACATAAATATATAAAGAAAACATTAAAAAAATCATCAGCTTTAAATGGATTTTAGCCCGATTTCTTAAAGTTCATTTGAAATTTGAATTAATTGTATGTAGACAGTAGCAGATAAACTTAATATCTTAGGGCCGTTTTCTCATCTAACCTGTAGTTTACCGGCCACTTTATCGTCTCGATATACGAGTTTTCGTTTTCTCATCAGCGCATTAATTTCTCGAATCGATAAACTGTTGCTCACCCGATGCAATCTTTAAAAGNTTGGTTCATGAGTCAGATATATTAGATATTTCAACCAAGGTTTTGGTTTTTGCTAACAGTTCCCTTGCTCTATATTTGCTTATGTTGCATTGCCAACCTTTAAAATTTTATGACGAATGTAGTGAAGTTTCACTATACGGAATAACAAATTAATTTTTACCGGCAAGGTAAGAAAACGAAAACACTTTAAAGTGAGGAACAATTTATCTGCCCTGTTAGTAAAGGCAACTTTGCTGCTTACATTAGAAAACGGCCCTTAGACTGCAAAAAAATCTTGAAATTAATAAATTAAAATTACCAAAAACTAAAAGGGTTTAAAATTTTATTCAAATTTTAAACTCAAATTTTTTTAATGAAATAATTTAATTTTTTAATGATGAATTTTAGCTGAATACATGAATTAAACTACAAAAACCAAAATCCTAAAATTGTTGAAAGAACCTTACTCTTGATTTATAAATTTATTCCAATTGAAATCATAAAAATTTCCACATCGTGACTTGGTCATAAAATTTTCCACAGTAAGATTACATACATACATACATTTGTACTTGTATCTAAGCAACCAGTTGAATGGTGACTGACCTATGATACACTCGCCTTCCGGACATTGTTTACAAGTACGACAGCGAAACAAACAAAAAAAAAAA